ACGAAGATATGAATGAAGGTTTTGTGAGCCTTAACCGGAAGCGTAGAATACAGTCACGGTTTTGTATAAAATATTAAGAAATTCTGATATCGATCTCGATCTACCCATTACTCAATTATCCCATTATTATCGTGTCTGTCGTAAATTATTAGCTTCAACATAGTAATTTATGATCCCTTCACGTAAAAATATTATACATGTAAAAAGGTACACCACCGGTTAAGGGTTGAAGGGTTTATCTTGAAAGATTATCCTTCAGGGGTGGCGGAAAGGCACGCTGTACTGCCCGCTCGATTTAACCCTCATAAAGATTACCCCAGCAACACGCACGCATATTTACAGTTTTTGAATATTGTACACTTTGCGGGAAGCGAAAGCGGTAGAATTTCGACGAGTTCAATTTTTCCGCGGTACGGAAAAATAGATTATTTTAACGTCAATCATCGTCATTTCATCGCACACGTCGTAAATGCAACTTTTGCATCCCTACGGCGTCTGTTCTCGAAATTTGTTCACGAAAAGAACGGTTTTTGCTGAAGTATCTAAAAATTTAACTGGGTACTGAAAATTTTGTTGCACTACAGAAGTAATTCATTTGTTAAAATGTCAAAATTTTTTTGTAACGTTGTTCATTACGTTTCATTTTTTCCTCCATATAATTATTTTAATAATCCAACAAGATTGTTTTCAAATTTCTGTCTACTTAATGTCTAAATTCTAAGCAGAATATCGTAAGGCTCGTAATATGTTCTCGCAAGACTTGTAAGAACTTACAAGTACTTATAACTTTATGCAATATCTTTACACACAGCTTCTCGCTAGCCGTAAGATTTACAAGAAATTGTAGACATTTACAAATAATACGTCTTACGGTACATAAAATTAGAACATGATTCTACAAGTTTTTACAAGTCTTACGAGAACAAGTTACGAATCTTATACGATTCTGCTTAGAATTGATCTATACATTTTTAGATACTTTAAACATTCTTTCTGTGTATACTTCAAGTTCATATTTCGAAATAAATTTTACACAAATTTATTTCGAAATTCTTCGCGAATTCTTATCAAAATTAAACCGGTTCCAATCCTCGATGTTTTCACGACCGGTGATTCGTGAAAAATAGAAACTTCTATTCCGCTTGGAAGAACAGAGTTTTTTTTTTCATTACATACACTTTACACGCATCCCTCGCGTGCAATTAGATTTCCATAAATCATAATTCGGCTCGTCATAATTCAGTGCCAGAATTTAAATTCGTGAATTGAGTCTTATTAATTAATCGCTGAGTCTTCGCAACTGTACATTGATTAGGATTATTCAATTAGCAAGATTAACGGAAAAGAAATCGTAGAATCGCATTCGACGTTGAAATGCGAATCGAAGGGATCTCGTGAAAAATTTTATTGGACGTTGAAATGCGAAAGGATCTTGCGAAAAATTTTGATCCTTTAATGCCATTTTTAATTATCGGTCGCGAGGATGTGCGTGCATTCGTGATTGTGATTTACGTTGAAATTGGCATAGTTTTAAAAACAAACGCAAATTTCTACGCTTCGCTATCTATCGCACAAGGGTGCATTCGTTTAACGGTTACAATTAAAGACACCGAACATGGATTGCACCATTCGTATCTAAATAGTATATCAAATGTGGTCAATAAAAATGGGAGAGAGAGAAAGAGGACGACCAATCCCCCTCTCTTTCTACGATATTGTGATTGGTTGAATAGAAAGAGACAGAGAGTAGCTGTCTTCGCGACCTATTTCTTTCATTTTTATTGACTAATTTTACACACGACTGGCGCAGTCCATGCTCCATGTCTAGTTACAATGCTTCTCGTGCGCGCGCGCGCGGGCACACACACACACACGCACGCACGCACGCACGCACGCACGCACAAACTAAACACACGGTTGCCACCTTCCGACTGGTGTTCCGCTGGAGATCGACGGTCCACCTGCCGGAAATTACCTCCGGAGATCGATTACCTTTGTCCAAATTGCTACTTTCTCACTAAAAAAAAGAGCTCTCCGCCGAAGGATTTTTTTCGAAACCGGAAGAAACCGACGCGTGCACTTCAAACCAGGTCTGTAAAAAAGAAAATTTAGATCGGTTAATCGAAGATTTATCCCGTTTGCAGGAGATTCGTTCGAAAAGCCAGAGTGTCCAAAAATCAGAGAGCTGGCAACCGTGACTAAACATCAACTATTTTAAGGCCATTTTATGGGGAGTCGCGCGGAATCGTACAGCATCAGCGAAAAACCTTCGTCTCTTCTATTTCCCCAACCCCTACCTATCCTTTCTTTTCTCCCTCGCAATCTACGTCCTGAAATTCGATACGATCGCGATCCCGTTTCACATCTCGTCATCGGAGATTGATACCGGATGTAACTCAAGAGTTCAATTCTCTCAATGTCGCGGATACGGAAAAATAAACCTTACGACTATCGCGGCGTCTCCGTTGTCGAGGGGGGAAAAAAAAAAAAACATGCAGGTATCACTTTCGCGTGCAGCTAGTAGCGATATTTGATCTCGCGAAAATTGCAACGGTCTCGCGATCTCTCTGATCAGCACGAAACTGTAAAAAAAAAAAGCGACCGCTCGTTTTTACTTTTTGTTGCAATAATTTCTTTCTTGCATGACAGTTAATAATAGGAGACGAAACGATCATTTTGGTGCAATCTACTCTTTTTCCCTTGCACAAATTACAGAGAAGTTTAACGATAATCTTTAATCGCAAATATGTTCATTGTCTCGATTGAAGGCTGACTTTTCCATATATGGTAGTCGAGGATAATTCTAAAAACGTGAATTTATTTATTTCTGATAATTCCAATGCGGTAAATAATTATTTAAAAAGTAAACAAATTACATGCTGCAAAATAATAATTAAAATGAAATTATTTTCGCTGCTGTACGAAATATATCCCACCTTTATTGCGCGTATTTTACTTATTCCACCACGCGCGTGCAATACTTGAACAATTCGTGTGCAATCTTAATAGATAAATGACAAGGAATCAAGCTGCTATTTCTTATTGTCGTTTTGTGTGTTCTGCGATATTACATGTAACGTAACAATTTAGATTTTCCGCGTGTAATACAATCGTGTCACGATCGCGACAGGATTAATATGTTCTCCTGTAATCAACGTATGTTACTTAATCGCTGCATAATTATCATGCGTGAGGAAACGCGGTTTTAAACGAACAATTCACGGCGGAAAAGAACGACGTACGGTTTTCCTTTTCACCCATTTTCTCCCTTCCCTCTTTCGTTTCGTGCCGCTCGAATCGGTACGCTCGTACCGATAAATTTCGTTCGCTCGCGTTGAACGTCACGGTCTGTAAATTTAACCGACCGAAATCTACTTGCACAAGGTAATTATTTGGTGGTATCGTTTATTTAATCGTACGAAAGACGATCGATCCCCCTTTTACGTTTTCTCCGTTTTTACCCTAGATGCAAAAGTAAACGCAATTCGGCAGACCGAACATATTTCGTCCCGGGGAGGAAAAAAAAGATACGTGAACTAACAATAAAGGATAAAAAAAATAAATAAAAATGATAATCGACAATATATATTTTTTTTTATATAATAGTGCAATCAATACGGTATGTATATATATTTATATATAATATATATAGAATGATCAAGTTAATATTTACACTATACGTACTTCTACTGATTTTTTGCGAATCCGTGTGTTTGCACACAACAATTTTCGTGTGCTCTTAATCTATCTAGCTTCTCTACCGCATCGGTATGGGGCTATGGCAACTAACGTAATAATGGCAAGTACTTGCTGACGAAAAATTGAGAGAGCTGATACTTGACGGTGGTGCAAGTATAGACTTTGTGGAATGGAGCGATCGAAGAGTCGCGATGAAGAGAGACCGATGAATCAAGGCCGTTTTATTTCGTTTTGCGCAATACTGATAAATGCATCGTGTATGTTTGATCACACGGTGTATTTATCGAGATGACCAACTTGTTTTAATTCTCAAAATAAATAACGGTGTCTCTTCTTTTCGTATTTTTCAAAATATTTTTAAATCGTTCAAATCAGACATCCTGTACACGAGACGCCGATTATCCAGATGTAAAATGAGAGAGGGGACCTATATAACCCTTATTGATTATCCATACAAAATTTTCATGTGGAGAAAAATAAAACATAAGGTACGATATTAAAAGTAAAAAAAATCATAATATAAATATAAAAAAAAATTTATATAAATATTTCATATGAATATAAAAAAAAATATATAAAAAAGAAAGCATTTCGATGAGGAAGATAATGTAAAAATTGTTCCCTGTATTTTTTTTTCTTTGCGGATATCGATCGTCCAAGAGATTCAGTATTCAGGATAATCAGCGTCCAAACAGTTGATGCTTTTTTACCATACAGCATTCTGAAACTTCGAGACTTCATGCGAAATGCGCTCATTGCTCGCGACTAAGTCGATTAGCTCAACAATCCGGCACGCACAATCAACGTAATTGCTACATTGTATCGCACTTGTCGGGTTTTTTGTTTACGTACTGAAACCCTCTTGTCGGTCACGATACCAACTAGTTTTCCATTCTCTTCTTTCTTTTCCTTTTCTATTACAAGATGCGCTCTTCTCACTCTCAAGATTTCGCAATATCGTGAAACGACAATCACTTTGGTGGGAAACGTGCGATAAAGCTCTATTTAGCGTCAGCGGATCTTACACGCGGAACTGTGAAAATGACAAACACAACTGGAAGGGTGGGAGGGATGGGGTTTTGCTCTATTGCTGTGATCGAGTCTTATCTCTAATACATTCAACAACTAGAAACAGAGAAACACTGGAATCGTACCGCAGCCGAATATGAACGACCCACCATATGTATGTATGTATGTGTGTGTGTGTGTGTGTGTGTGTGTGTGTTCGCGCATGTATGTGTGTGGAAGTTCTTTGTGCAAACCTATTTTTACCTATCTCTCGCGTCTAAAGTGTCTGTATGTGTTCCTCCTTTCTTTCCTCGTTTTTCCCTTTTTTTTTTTTTGGAGTTTTAGGTCACGAGGGTGTAAGCCGTAAAACGCGTACGCTCGAGCAGGCGGAGTGTGGAAGCAGTCGGGAAGTTATTATACGAGTCCACGAATCGCTCGCCGCTTGATTACTGCCTCGTCCTACAACGTACATACATATATACACGGCTGCTGCGCAAAAACAATGTGTTCGAAACATTACTCAACATACATACTTGGGAAACTGCACGGAGAAAAAGAAATCGCCGACACGGCTGAATTTGTCACTGTCGCCGGTGAGTTTCGTTAGTTGTTATATTACGGATAGTGAAGAGACTTGCCGAGGAAGACGCCGATTCTGCTCGATAGAAATAGCCTTCTGCGATTTTGTCATTTTAATTACGATATTGTGGAATAATATCATGTTCTCGAGGCACTTTTACTGCGTCAACAACATCTGATATTTCTGGAGTTTGTCGCAGAAGCGTATCGTATCGCAGATCATCTTGCTGTAATACTAAATGAATTACAAAATTTCAACGAAAAAATTTATACAATATTCAACAAATGATTATTAATATAATATTAACGTTAGTAGATTTAAGCAAGTCTCATTGAATCACTGAATAAATAAAGCAGCAGTGACAGTTTATGCTGTGACGGAGAAGTTCCTTCTCTCGCTGTATATATGAAAGGGTAGAAATCGCAGAAAAATGCTCCCCTCGCGTATTCGGAAGGAAAAATGGCTCCGCACGGACGATGATAAATTTATACCTCCGAGAATTTCGTTTTATCCTTCCTCGGAAGAGAGATGAAGAATACGGTCGTGTGCATTTGCGCACGCGATTCCATCTCGATTGCTTCGATAAAAAAAAAAGAAAATAAAGAATGTATTTACACATACATACATTTCTGCAACATATATCATGTATACACAACAAAATGATTCTGTCCAAGAATAATGCAGAATATTCAGTGTTTAAATTCAATCGATAATTTACACAATCCGATAAATAATGACAAATAAAATTCTATGATCACACGGCCAATTTAGAGAGCGGCGTAAACTCTGACCGATAATTCGAACATGAAAAAAAAAAGAAAATAGAAATGATTTCTAAGTGTGCATCTGGCATAACTGCAATATACATAATATAATTGAACCGCATATTGTTATAATCTCGTTCCATCGCCGCATTCTTCTGCAATTCCTCCACTTCAAAGACAGAAAAGGATCTACGAACTTTTGTCAAACGAACAATTATTAAACAAAACAACAGATCATACAATATATCACTCAAGAACCCAAAAGATTCGATATACATCTTATTTTTTCCCTTGTTTAAATTTAACGCTGCGTGAAAAATGCCTTTCACTTAATATCTTCTCCCATTCAGTACTATTTGTAAATATATACATACCATATATGTGTTTTTGCGTATATGAATATATGTATTCATGTACACATATCTCTGACAAACAAAGTCTGCAAAAGATAAATTTAATCTCAAAGTAACTA